AACATGGTAACGCTGCCCGAACCCCAATCCAGGGCGAAACGCCCGAAACTGACCACACCCAGAAACGACGCTTTCGCCATACTGCTATCTACCAAACCATAAAAGCTTTGGCTATTCTGAGGTGCTTACATGGTTCAGAGATTGGGGGTGGTCATTGGTAAGTGTGAAATGCCTAGCACTAATATTTCACAAGAAAATGGCCATGCAATAATCATAGTTAAACATCAATTTGTGGCTTGCAAATTCAGATAAACAGCAGTGGACTTACATTACCTTTTTCCCTAAATCTTTTTGATAGAAAAAAAAATGGTACTTATTTAAATATATTATCACTGGTTTGAGATTATCTGTCCTAAATGAAATGCATACAAACTCATATACAGGTCCTAGACTATGAAGACGTACAGTGAATCCTGGATTGAAGTTATATTTTATAAATGAATGTTATACTATATAATATAAGGTAAACGCGCTCGCGGCGATGTATAAAACTAGTGCTTAGAAAACATGAACGATTATAAATATTTTGCTCGGGGGTTGCAGAATTTTTAATTATACATTTTTGGAAAATCTGTGCGCGTATTTAATCATAAATCGACTACAAAGCCAAATAAATATATCTTACCTCAACCGACGAAACTGAAAGAGACTCAGATCCCTTCTCTTTCGTACTGCCTGAAACGGTTTCAGTTGATACGAGGCGTGTCTTTAATAAAGTCATCGCAGGACACGAAGGATTTTTAACTCCGCAGTCGGCTTGAAACAAGGATTTTCTAGCCGTTGGCCATACATCATCAGCATCATCCTTTCCCATACGTTTCGTGTACGCGGTACATCTCTCACTGTATAGCTTCTTCTTCGAACATTCAAAGCCTTCTCTGACGTTGACAATCTTTTTGACCAAAGTCTCATTTCGATCGAAACATTTTCGGCAAATAATATCCGTTAAAACAGAGTTTCGATCAAGCTCTACTCCGAGTAGAAACTCTAAACTTAAACAAGCTTTAGTTTTTTGCCAGTTTTGTGATGACGGACAAAACAGCCTCCTGCGAACGTCGGCGTTCTCTACAGATAAACTGCATATAACGCAAATTCTATTCTTTGAAGCAGGTGAAATATCCAGGCGACTATAAACTTTTGTCGGTGTCGTTTCTTTGTCCGCCATATGCAAATTAATAAACACAATGAAACCGACACGGAATCTGTCTGTGGAATGTCAATCAGTTTTCGCGCCAAATTTTTAACAAGATTCAAATCGCTGCAAGGGAAACAAGTCTGCCTCTCCCCTCCCTCCTCGCCGCCTCGCCCGCGCCGCCCGCCATTTTCCCGCCCGCTTTTTTTCGCTCCTTTCCCGCGCCGCCCGCTTTTTTTCGCTCCTTTTCGGCTCGCCTGCTACTAATAAAACTTCAAGTAAAACTCAAGTTACTTTTATAAAACTAAAGTAAAACTCAAGTTACTTTAATTAATTAGGAACATCCAAGAGGCAGACTTGGAGCAAGTCTAGGGCTTTTACTGCACATATGATGCAAAGCTGCCAAAAGCCATAGTATTTAAAATAGGATTGTGCCTGTGAAACTCGTTATCTTACATCTATCAAGCTTATGTAGTTATATTATATTCCGATGACCAACGCATTAAGAAACACTTAGAGAACAGCCGATATATTTCGTTACCCCTGCCAGAAAATAGCCAAGTACATGGAGAGAAGTGAATTTTCGGTTTATCCTTCGGCCCAGTGACCAGTGCATGGGCAGTGTGCTGTACGGCCTACGTTTAAACCGTTATACAGTACATAATTACTGCTTTCATTCTTTCAATCCGTTTTATCTTTTAAATATTCGGAATCATTCACTATTATATTATAAAACTGTATAAGATAGCTGTAGAACTATAAATGCTGTAGAATAAAATAAATAAAGAAAACTACGTTTTATCGCGGTATTTGCCGATAAATCGGTAATCGTTACAGAAGGGAATCCCGAAACATCGAGTTGGATTCGAGTTAGAGTTCGAGTTAGAGTTAGACTTCGAGTCAACCTCGTTCCCAGGGCTTCAGTGTGAGGACGAGGCGAGACACGAGGAAGCCCTGGTCTGGGCCGGTCAATTTTGCATTCTGATTGGCTAACACCATATTGTCTAAAAATAACTTTACTTGACGGTTAACAATAACAAATTACATGCACAATTCAACATTTGTATTTTTATGATTCTTGTGTGTACGAGTATGCTTTGCAAAATAATCTTTCAAAGTGAGACGTTTTCCCGACTGCACGATTTACTTTCGCCTCGGCCGGTTACAAAACTCAAAAGCCGTGTCGAAGTGCGCTGTGATGTTTCCTGACAAAACAAGAAATGTCTACTATTATTTAAGTTTTCCTTGTACAGTATTTATTTATAGTGCAGATGTCTGATGAAATACTACGCGTATTGCATTGTAGTAATATTTTAATTTACAATATCATCTGTACTGACAAATAAAAGCAAGACAAACAATTAAATGAAACTACTAAATTAATTTAGGCCCTGTTTACTTAATAGCTCTACGCCTAGGCCGATGTAGTCTACAAGATTCGCACGCCACCCAGTTTTTCAGTTTCAGAATACGCCGAATACTTGAAAATTGCGACTATACGATAAAATAAAACAAAGATTGTGAAGGGGATAAAATTTGTAGGCAAGCATTGCTCCTGAACGGCAAGTGTTGGTGTCCGGCGAAACAAGCGAACCGTATATTCCTGTACAGCGTGAACAGGTTACACGAGGTTTTATATTTGTGTTTATTTAATATATTGAACTAAGTCAGATCTATAGGAGCATATTTAAACTAAATCAGTATTAATTATAGCAATAGCCATATTGTTCAAGACGAGAGAAAGGAAATTTCGTGTGAATCACCACCTGCATGGAGACGCCTAGATGCAGCTTGGATGCAGAGCTTTGCCTGTAGTTGAAAATCTCCAGAAATATCGGTAGGCCTATATCTTAGAAAACATAGACGGGATCTTCATAGATTTTAGCTGATTCGTGTCAAACTTCGCTGTACACATAAATAATATCGATTGAGAAGTCTTTTGGCTATTTATTTGTTTCGAAGACTTGTATATTTCATTAAAGAATATCTCGCCACTCCTTGACGAGTAGCTGTCAAATACTGCCATTTTTTGACGTCACGTGACCGGCCCAGACCAGGGCTTCCTCGTGTCTCGCCTCGTCCTCACACTGAAGCCCTGGGAACGAGGTTGACTTCGAGTTACTTACTAGCCGATTTATTTAAGTAAACAAAACAATATTTATTAATACGTATATGTTTGAAAATAGCAATATTTTGGATAATTTGGCTAGGAGTAACCATCCTCCTAGCCGATTCATTTCAGTAAATAAAACAATATTTATTGATACATAAGTGTTTGAAAACACTAATGTTTCATGCCAAGAAAAGGGTGGAGCTAAATTATCGCCAAATCATCGAGGCGAAACAGAGATGAACCCCACCCGCCTTATATTAAGTCGAACCCTAACCTCCACCCAACCCCCACTCTAACCTCTAACCCTAACCCTGGTTTAATCTTAATCTGGCTCTATTCTAATCCTAATCTAAAAATGACTACCTTTCTTTAATATTCCCTCCCCTGCGCGTCCTGCCTCCCTAATACTACGTGTGAGGATATATTGCATTATTAGTCTTGAAAGGTCAAGGAGAGTACTATATAGAGGATGTTAGACGGCGGGCAGAAATTTTTTTTGGGATCACTTTCTTTGGGAGCTTGGTAACCGCGCCTGTTATGATGCAATATAGGAAGCCTGTACAGCAGGAAATAGATTGCGGTCGAATACTTTGACGCAAACTTATATATTCTATATTTATTTACATAACCGCTGCGTTTTGACGCATTATTCATCGCGTCTTTCCGAAAGCTTTGTACCCATAAATAAAATGTACTAAAAAGAGAACACATTACGTACACATTTTTTATAAAATAGATCAAAATATACCATAAATATTGAGATATATGCTAGTATAAAGGTCATAAGTTCGTGCGTAATGGTATTCGAAATATAGACATATTATTAATTCGCAGTTCATTTAACTGATAGAAACGTTCACATTCAAATTATTCAATTAGGTATGAATTTGGTTTAAAAGATTCCCTGTTTGTATTATATTGTGCACTACTAATACTGTGTGAGTCATAGATAGTCTCGGTTGAAAACGTGATGTTTATACTAGCCAACAAATATGCAAACCACAAGTCTAATAATGCTTATAGGCGTATCAAAATTCAAAGATCAAAATTTTCCTGCGCACAATGCAAAATGTAAACAAGACATGTTTATCGATTTTGCATTATAAACTGTGGAAGCTGAGGACGATGCAGAAATTCAGTTGTAGTAACTTCTAATATATAGATTTTACATTCGTACTTCAGCATTCAGTTTACTTCAGGCTATTATTGCCACACACGTTAGTGTTTATTTCCGGAAAATTTAAATATTTCCCGCTAAAGGTTAATGATAGTCAGAATGGTATAATAGACTTTATATGAGTGCAGCAGACTTTATATGAGTACCTGAATAACCCCAAGTTTACATTAAGTGTCCCAACAAATCCAAATATGTACCCTGAGTGAAAGTCGCGGTTACCAAGCCTCCCACGGAAAGTGATCCCAAAAAAATTTCTGCAGACGGCGGTGTAGTACTCGTCATATGCGCATCGCTGTTTTTTACAAAGAAACGCCTGGGTACGAGAGAGGGTGTAGTATGCGATAGCAGACTGATCAGCACCATTCTCGTACCCAGAGCCCTTCTTACGCGCGGTGCGACGAGGGGCTCTGGCCAAATCCATAACCGGATACCATAAAAACATGGTAAGAAAACAATATCCAGTGTTAGAACTAGCCAATCAGATGCCAGTTCGGATATGGATTTGGCCAGAGCGCCTCGTCGCACCGCGCGTAAGAAGGGCTCTGGGCACGAGAATGGATCAGCACCGCCTCATTCTCGTACCCAGAGCCTTCTTACGCGCGGTGCGACGAGGGGCTCTGCTCAAATCCATAACCGGATACCATAAAAACATGATAATAAAATATATCCGGTATTAGAACAATAACCTTCGTTGTAGCCAATCAGATGCCAGTTTGATATGGATTTGGCCAGAGCCCCTCGTCGCGGTCCGTTGACCGCGCGTAAGAAGAGCTCTGGGTACGAGAATGGCACTGCCTCTGAAATTAGTCTGCTGTTTCTCCGCAGCTCCAGTGGGAGCGGGG